CGAGAATATATCGGTGATGGATGTGTTCATTCAGCAATGCTTGAAATTGATAATCAAGTTAAAGTTGAATATGTGACTTATATTCCTTATGGTCATAATTTTCATCTTATGCCATTAGGACAGTTGCAATGGCAATTTCATGCAGTAAATGCATTACGTGATGAGATGAACAAATCATGTCGACAGCTGATAGTACTCAAGGGTATTGAGGGCATAGTAACAAGAATCAATATGTTCTGAAATGTGAAATTTATGAAAAAAATACCTCTTTTTTTATATTGTTTTTTTCCGGGTTATTCAATTCATTTTTTGTTTAATCTGATTTTGTCGTGACAAAATTGAGAGTCTTAGTTTGTCGAAAAAGAACCTAGTCGCAACTCGAATTCGAGTGTTGACTAAAATATATACATAGGGTAATGAAAAAGTTCTGGTAACAGCTATCTAAAATTTCATCCACATTGTTTTTATTCCTCATGTTGATTTATTCTAATAGCAGCATCTGTTATGTATTAAATTATCAATACAAATTTTCACAAGTGTCCATTAAAGCAAATCCTAAGTAGATTTTTTAGTCACTTCTGTTTTCAGATGGAAAAAACGTAGTACATATGCTCAAATATAAAAACTCGGTTGTTATTAGATTTAACTGTTACACAAACTCATGCTGATATTAACTACTGCTTATGGATAAAGTGTTATTTTATATCGTACAGTTGTTCATTGAGTTTGTCGATTTTCAAGTAGACGTGAGTTGCTGGAAAATGATCCTCACAGTTACCGTTCAATAACCGCTATTACTCAACAAAATGTTGATGCTATTAAAGATCTAATACATGCTGAACGACATATCAGTGTTGATTATATTACTACCATCTTAGACATAGATATCACATAAACTATCGTGATAGATACTTGAAGACGTTAGTCAAAAACTTCCATAAGAAAAAAACATCATGGATAACAAATAGCACAAATTTGCATTATAAAAATGCAAAATTGCATATGCAAGATATTGTTATTAAGCTTAATTATCTTCAAAAAGAAAAAACCTACGTTATGATACATTCACCATCCACACCTGACTTTAGTCTTTCAGATATTTACTTGTTTAGTTGCCTGAAACATATCTTTGATACATATTTACAGACTACAAGGTTAGTTAAAGCAATAATCAAGGAGCTCAATTCAATAACCATTCATGAATATCAAAAGACCTTTCAAAAATCGATTGACATAATGAAACTTTGTATCGAACATCATGGAGACTACTTCGAACATTTACCGTCAACAGATTAGCAAAATGTTTTTTCTATGAATAAATATTCGAAGATGACAGAAGTTTTTAACTACTCCATATACATATCGGTTGAGTGTCTAGATATATCAAGAGAAGATACTTGTTTCAGAAAACTTACGTATGTTCAGAAATCAATAGTAAATTTCGATCATGATCGATGTTTCCTAGTCATTTCTGTAATTTCCAACAGTTCCAGTACTTAAAAAACAAAAATCTTTTTTTTGCCTATATATCTATTATTCTAAAGAAATACACAGCAAGTCAAAAAAAAATATTCGGACGTCAGCTTTGTTTTCTCTATTTTTTTTCTTTTTACACATTAGAAATATTAGATTTTTTCTGACTAGCAACAATTAAGTAGTCTTTTTCTCCGGCAAAAATGGATATATTGTTTCGCTTTTGATATTATGCTCAAAACACATTAGTAGATAGTGAAAATCTATTCATTATTTGAATCTGAAGAAAAGACGAAAAAAGACAGTTATAATAGCATTCTCATTTCCAGTTTTCGGACTCATCTACTTGATTCTATTTTAGCAAAAAGTCTTAAGGATGTTGGACTTATAAAGCAAAAAATTCGCAACAAACTCATGTGTCAACCAGCTTTCTATTTTTCGTAGTTTTTCGAACGACTTTAGGCGAAATAGAGGTCGTATGTTGTTCTTCCGCTCTTATAGGTTTCTCATAGGATAAAGAATTTTACCCAGAAAAAATTTGAGAGCTAATTAACGGTTCAGTTTATTCAGAATGTTCTACTTTATACAGCTTCAATCTTAGTAGTTTCTTGCTACAGAAGCGAACGACGAATGTCCTCGAAAACTGAGTATGATAATACTATTATGATGTTTTTTTGTCACTCACTTATTCGTCAAGGTAATTATGAATATCTTATCAGAATGAATGGTAATTCATACTTAATGGATAGATTCGAAATAGATTTTTTTAATTATATGAATAGGTGAAAATCAGATTATCTTGATCAATCTTCATATTCGGAATCGATCATACCGATAAATCTTATCTTACAACGTTTTCTCAACAAGAATAGTCTTAAACTTTGTTATATTTATAACAATATGTTTATTATTCGTTTAAAATGATATTATGAATCAAAACAAGTTCAAAGTTTTGTTCATGAATTAATTCAAGATGATTTAATACTTCGAGAATATATCGATGATGGATGTGTTCATTCAGCTATGCTTGAAATTAATAATCAAGCTAAAGTAACACGTCTAATGAATACTCCCTATAGTCACAATTTTCATGTGATGCCACCAGGCTCCTTTGAAAATATCATTTCTTGCAGTAAAAACATTTTTGGTCACAACTAGTATTCAAGTTTTGCCTGAAATATATATCAATATGCACAATATACTAGATATAGAGAGAGAAGCGAATAATGTCAAGAGATTCAACTATTTTCAGAAGTTACTTGTAAATTTCAGTTATTATTGATATTATCTAGTCATATTCGTAATTTTTAAAAATTCAAATGCTTGTGAAACAAACATTTTTTTTCCTACCAACATATTTGTTAATGTCAAGCGATATAAAGGAAGTTAAAAGCGATCAGGACACCTACTTTTTTCTTCGGTTTACGCAGTAGAAACAATAAATATAATTTTTCCTGATTCTTTGATAGATAGGTCTTGCTTACTCCTATGCTCTGTATGATAATCAGAACTTTCGATCATAATTTCGAATGTTCTGGATTCTTTCTTTGAGAATCAAGGGATTTTTCTAATTAGAACTATTTGAGGAATTTTTCTTGAACAAGAAATTATGTAGTTTTTTGCTTTTGGCTTTTTTCTTAAAACATATCATCAAATATATCGAATAGAACTTGCATCTGCTAGTATGTTTTTCTTTGAAAATCTTATCGATTTTAAATATGGAACAATAACTTCTCTGACAAGTCTTTCAAAACTACAGTTTTCATTAGAGTTTTCGACGAGATATCAGTCAAACTTGATAAGTAATTGGATCTTTTGAAATTTCGTGAAGAGCTGAATACCAATGTATAGATTTAAAATCTATTACTGATATAATTTAACACATATATATAGAAATGGATGTTCTGAATTGAATCTTTCAAGAGAAATATTCTTCCGTTTTCATAAATTAAAAAATCTAAAAAGAGAGAAAGAGAGAAGGAATAACAATCTTACATGCAAAGCAGAACTACACACACTGATGACGGTAAAAGATATCATCTTATAAAAGAAAGTGAAGTTTTTCAAATTTACATTAATTCGAGATTGAAAGACCTATATTTTAAAACTTAATTTTGGTCGAGAAAAAATTCTAAATGAAAAGATACTTCAATTTAATCGTCTTCTAAAACTGTCCAATCTCATTCATGTCACAGTAGTGACATCCATGCGAAAAACAAAACCTTGCTTTTGATTATGTTAAAAAAAAACTATGTATATAAATTATGTATGACAGTCAATTTCACAAATCTTGAGAAACTTCTCTAATTAGCTAACTATTTGAAATGAATTATTAAATCCGATTCATTGCTCTGATTAATCGCCAAGTTTTGACAAATTGTTTCTTGTATCGTAATCACAATAAAATCTGATTCAACGCTGACTTTTGTTTTTACGAAATACGACTGATCACGATTTAACACCAAATCTTTTTAAAATCGTCGCGATTTTCACGACATGAGTAAGTTCACAAAATTTCTTGTTTTTTTTGTTTCTTTTTTTTTGTAAATCAGAACATATAACTCGTTATTATGTATTCATGACTTTTGCGGACATTCTATATATATATATATAGGTTAATAATGAATGATTGATAAATATGAGGTTCATAATAAATTGAAAGTTCTTATGTGAAAAGATTTGAAATATAAAGATATCCTTATTTGTTAGTTTATTTTGTTTCTTTCGAAATGAAAAATTTTTACACAGTTGTATCTTATATCAATCATATTCGTATGTTGATTGTGAAAGAATACTGACAGCGAAGGCGAAGTCAATCAAGCATAACATAATCGATAGTATACTTTCATTTATTCGTAACATGTCACTGTTGAATAAAAATCGAAGACAGTATATTCAAATATGTAAGTCAAGCAATATATCAGTGATTACTTAGAAAATTTAACAATACGAAACCAAATTTGCTTGTGCATAATTCATCAAAAAAAACATACATGAAAAATATACGAGTGCACAAATTCTTGAAAACACCCATAATTTTGATTATACTTGCTGTCGTTTTGATCTATGTTGGTACTTCGGGATACAATAAATTGGATATATTTCTGACTCAACCAACACGAACACGAGGTGTTTTTGCAACACTTATTCGTAGTAAAGATCGATCTATCCTTCTTACAATTAATATGATACATTCTATTATTCAATTTTATCCAACTAATAATAATTATCTATATCCATTGATTATATTTCATGATGAAAATTTTACTATAAGCATGCGTCGACAAATATTATCATGTGTTCTCAATACGAAGAAAAAGATCAAAATTTCATTTGAACTTGTTAAATTTCGAACAAAAATTAAAATAGATCCTGGATCACGTTCTAATAAACCAATTGCATATCGTTTAATGTGTCGATTTTGGACATATGATGTTTTTTATCATCCAGCAATCATTCGAGGAAAATATGATTATTTAATAAGAATGGATGATGATTCATATTTTATGGATAAATTCGAAACGGATATTTTTCTTTATATGGATAACCAAAAATTAGATTATATTTATCGATCTATATATTATGAACCATACTCATCGATGGATCCTATCTTAAAACGTTTTCTCAAAAGAAATATTCTTCAACTTGGTTGTATTTATAATAATTTCTTTGTTATTCGTTTGAAATGGTATTATGAATCAAAACGTGTTCAAGATTTTGTTCATGAATTAATTCAAGATAATTTCATGCTTCGAGAATATATTGGTGATGGATGTATTCATTCGGCTATGCTTGAAGTTGATAATCAAGTTAGAGTAAAACATCTTATGAATTTTCCATATGGTCATAATTTTCATTTGATGCCGTCGGGAAATTCGATCTGGCTTTTCCGTGCAGACACTACATTTCATGATGAGATTAAAAAAGCATGTCACCAGTTGACAGTATTAAGGGGTGTTCAAGGCATATTAACACGAATAAATATTACTAAAAGATGGAATCTTTGAAAAAAAAAAAAGAATATTTAATTTTGTTTTATTTTTATTTAGATTTTTATCGTCATCTAGTTCATATTTGTGTTATTATATATTTATTATTTTGGTTTATCAAGTTTCATTTCCGTTCCTTGTCGATATCAACTACTCAACTTGA